TATGAGCTTTACGACGATATAGACATAGTGCAGCGAACTAAAATTCAGCGGCTGCGCTTACTTGGCCATGTCGTTCGAATGGGCAGAAACTCTCCTGCTCTGAAGTATTAAACGCGGGCCTCGATGCTGGTAACAGACGAAGAGGAAGGCCTCCTCTGCGTTGGAAAGACCAAGTGGAGAAGGACTTGGCTTCACTTGGCAATTCCAATTGGCGTCAGTTGACACAGAAGAGAAATGACTGGAGTGCTATTTCGAACTCGGCCAAAATCGCTTAGGCGATTGCTGTGTCAAATAAGAAGAAGAAGAAAGTTGGTATTTTACACCAAGCCAAATGTGAATAATAAAAAGTAAACAAACAACTGTCAAGTTAAACTCTGAGTTTCTTAACTCCCCAATGGGAACACTTGACAGTTGTTCATAAACTCAAAATGTTAAGCTCGAATTTATGGTTCATCGTGAACATAGTACTAGAGGTCACATTTTGATGCAAAAATGCGAAAGACAAAACCGAGCGCTTTATTTTGCACAAAAGCGTGAACAGTGTTGTTGCTTTGGCTGCGAAATTTCAAACAGTTTAGCCACAGCGCGGTCTTAAAAATTCGTTGCGCTTCCTTTGTGCTGTCGTTTTACCTTCCGAAGCGATGTACGAACAGCACAGCTCAGTTTTCTCGCTCGTTGCATTTCAGTCAAGGTTACAGCTATGCGTTTGTGCGAAACTAAAAGTGCGAAACGTTGCCATATACATGTTTGTTGTAAAAAGTTTCTCATTTTCGCACTTTCACTCAAACGCACACAATTTTGCCTTAAAGAGTGAAATCCATCCAAAATCACCATTTGCTACTGCTCAAAATTTATGCATGAGAAGTGAAAGGAATGCAAACACGCCGCGTACATTACACCTCAGAGTGTCCAGATCTGGCGATTCTAGGAGATTTTTTTGGATATTTGCGCATAAAAATTTAGGAAAGCGATTTTAGGAGCGATTTTTCCGTTCAACTAAATTTTTTCTAATTATAAAAATGTACAAAACTAAGTTTTCCACGAAACTGTCAAAAAATTTTAATCGCCCTTACCGAAGAACTTTTGAAACTTTTGCTTCTCAAATGTTGCCTTTTGAAAATTCTGCTTTTCAAAATACTGGATTAAAAATTTCTGTTTTAAATTATAGTGTAAACAATAGGTGCGTTCGACAAGTCCAAAATTTGTAATAGTTTTTCCAAATTTTTACTGGATGGCGTTCGATAACGACAAAAAAATATCCAACACACAAAAATTGAGAGAGCAAGCGTTCATTTTGATGCAAGAGAAGCGTTCATTTTGTACTGGCAAAATTTTAGTCAGCAAAAATTATCCAACACGAAAACATATGATCACAAAACATATGGTTGCAATTTTTGTAAACAAACAAAATTACATTTTTCGAGTTTTGGTATTTACATGCTTTTTGGCTGCCTGCTATGTGATTTTATGATAGTGCCAACTAGTTTTTACTTCTAGAAATGTTCCTGGCGAACATTGAACGTTCACTTTCCTTTTTTCTTCCATGGAGCCATCATGAATTTCAGTTTGTTTACAAGTAAAACATAAACAAAGTCAGGTGGTGTGTCTTCTTCTTCCGGTTTTTGCAAGTGATGGCTAATTTCCTGTTCGTTTACTTTTTTGCTTTTTCTTCTCTTTGGGAGAGAATTTTCGCTTACGCTCTTGATTTTGATTGTTGGCTGGTGTTGGCTAATTTTGTTATCGAACGCAACTAATGTTAAATAGGACGTGTCAGTACTTTGAAAAGTGCCCATTTTTTAAAGTAGTGACATGTCTTATTTAACATTGATTACATTGTATTTTAATACAGAATTTTGATTTTCAATATTTTTAATTAGTTTGACAAAACTTTTATTACTGGAAATAATCATAACGTGAAATATTCTCCTAAGCTTTGGTCAGTGCATGACAGCATGTATCGGAAACAGAAACCTTTTCTAGAACGTACAACCGTGGAGAAGGGTGGCATCGCCGGCTAAAAGAATGTAGTTGTTGGAAGGAGCAATTCCCAGTTTTATAATCTTGTACTGAATTTACAAGAACATAATTTGGCAAAATCTCTAATTTCCAGGAATAAATACAAGTAGAAGCAGCTTATAAGACCTTTTAAAAAAGAACTGACTTAAGTCACACAGTTTATTATTTTTTTATTTTATTTTTGCACAGATGCAATTCTCAAAATATTGTAATTTAATAAAACAAAATGTTGTTTGCATATATTGAAAATTAAAGTTTATTTTGACAAGTGTAAAAACACGATGTTATAATTTGTATACTTTTCGCTCAATATAACAGATTTTTAGCTCGCTTGGAACGTATTTCCTAAATGTAGATTTAAGACAAAGGGTCTGTGCCAATTGATAGAAAAGATGGAATTTTGATGGATCAAACGTCAGAAATAGAGCGTTCGCACGAGCTTTTGTTTGGATTTTCAACTGTCAAAATTTTACTTTGCATTTGGCACAGCATTCAATTTATTCGTATGTACACCATAGTAAATTTTTTCAACCCGTCTCACCATTGAGAAAAAGTGACCGATTAGCACATGGCCAAAGATGAGAATATGGTAAATTTTGTCAGATTTTATCTAACACAAAGGCAGAATTTCGAAAGACGAAAGTGCGAACAGTAGAATTTTGTGAGATGGAATTTCAAAATGCGGAAGCAAAATTTTGAAAATGAAGGATTAGAAAAAGCAGAATTAAAAAATACAGAATTTTGATCGAGCAGAATTTTTTAACATATTGCAGAATTTTGCGATGTAGAATTTTGTAATGCAGCGTAATGAGACGCTCCCTGAAAAATTTTGTTATTTCTCATGAACAGTATGTAGTATTTATTGAAGTCGATAAGGGATTTCTCATTCTGCGGCTTTTCAATTGAAAAGTCTTAATATATATATTTCTAAAATTTGGTAACACTGCGCTAGCTTTTCTGGTGTATGTAATATGTATGTGTATATATATTTAAACCTGTTTACCTGTTGTGTGAGTCGCTAAAATGCTGCGTGCAAAACTTTATTAATTATTGTATGCTAATTCTGAAAAATATGCATTCAAAAGTGCGTATATAAGTACGTTAGGGTAGCTCATTTCTGTATAGAAATCTATGTAAGTGAAAAATTTGTTTTTAATAATGAAGAGATTAAACTTATGATTTATCGCATCCCAAAAGGTCCAATTAATGTTTATGTTTGTGCTTGCTTTTACTTATTGATTCGAAACAAAAAACAGCAAAAATTACCAATTACACTGGTCTACAAATTTCAACTTTTTTTCTGCGAATAAGACG